AACTGAACACAGTATTCGAGGTGCGGCCTCACCAGTGCCGAGTACAGGGGCACGATCACTGCCCTGCTCCTGCTGGCCACACCATTTCTGATACAGGCCAGGATGCCGTTGGCCTTCTTGGCCGCCTGGGCACACTGCCGGCTCATGTTCAGCCGGCTGTCGACCAGCACCCTCAAAGGGTCTGATGAGGACCTGGATGAGTGGAGGGACCTCAAGGAACCCTTGCTGAAATGACTTCGTGATGACTAGACAACTGCTCTAAAGAGATGTCTGCAAGGTCAGTCCCTGGTCGGCAGCCTGATGTAAGAAGTTAGCAGCTCTGCTTCTGGGAGACTGGAGATGGCTTTACACTGGGGAGGATGGCTTTCAGTGGCTTTCTTGACTGAAGCTGTGCTGTCTTCTGTACCAGAGACTCGCCCAAGTGCTTGGTTGCCACCTTCACCCTATCATATCTTGAGGACACAAACGAAGGAAGACAACAAGATGTCAAACATTTTGGCGTCTTGTCTACCACACAGGTCACCACTTCTGCCCAGCTGTTTTGCAGGCAGGACCTTCGGAGTGGCACCAGGACTCAGACCATCGCGTGGGACCTTCGGAGTGGCACCAGGACTCAGACCATCGCGTGGGACCTTCGGAGTGGCACCAGGACACAGACCATCTCGTGCTAGTTCATAGCAGCTGCGTCCTCTGTCCCCAGAGCAGCTCCTGTTGAGCGGTCTGCGGAAGAGAGGCTCAGGACCCAAACGCTCAGCTGGAGGTTACCTGTGAGGATGCCCGAGAGCAGCAGTCCGTGCAGGAGCTTTCACAGCATCTGTTTGCGCCATGAAATGAGGTCCTCGCGCTTCCTCCTTTCCGTGCCTCTGTGCCCAGGGCTTTCCCAGGCCTCTCCGTCTCCAGGCTTTGGAGAAACGTACCTCTCCGGCTGTCCCTGTGGGCCAAGTGGTGCCGCTGTGAGCCCCCGCTCTGCCTGTCCGAGCTACGAGACTTGTTCTTGCTTCCGCAGGCGCGTATTTGGCCCCGTGCCCTGAGCCAGCCCTCCGCTCCTCTGCCCCTGCCAGGACAGCACGCGGCGCAG